CCATACTGGTTCAGGACAATCTTATAACAGAGGAGATAATCTGAGTATATTTGATGATATTCAAATATCAGCTGTGTGTTCTCATTTTTCTCAGCACTCAAAACACTACCGAGTCTGCCAAGCAGACTTATATAGCTTGGCAAACTTTCATTTCATAAATGACAATATGAAATTATTTTCACTGACTAATAGGATAACTGTAATAGAACAGATCCTGAAGTGATAATAGACTGTACCCCTGCATTCCAGTGAAATTATAACCAACTCTCCCAGATACTTCCATATAATGTTCCTATAACTTAGGAGGAAAAGGGCTCTTCTTTATAAATCCCCCTAAAATTATTCTTTCCCCTTCTCTCTTCCTAGGCTAGACCAGGGCTTTCCCATACTTGTGGCCAGTCCCGTCTTTTTTACATGCATGGTGGCCTCTTAGGGTTTAGAATATGAGCTATCTCACTGCAACCTTTCCCTACTCATTCTGGGCAGAGTTGTCTGAAATTGTCAAGGCAACAGTTCTCTCTTTAGCTAAGCGAGTACAGGGTTCTCCAAGCGGTTCCCTGCAGCCTTCCTTAGAGAATATCTGGGGCACTTTAAAAGCAGCGACTCCCAGACTTGTGTTGGCAAGGATTCTAACGTCCTGGGGAAGCCCTAGCAGCAGCCCAGAGAGTAATCATGGGCTCTGGGATCTAGGTTTCCCCAGAGGAGCTGTTTTTATTCAGTTCATGTATTAGGGTCTTGCATAAGGTTCCACTTGGTACTAAATATAAAACAAAAACGCTGTCTACAAAAATATGTGAAAACCACTACAATAAATGGTTCTCTCTCCCTCCAGCTGGCTTCTCCCCCTCACCAGGCTGCCACCAAAATGGAGGCTTATGCACTTGTGTTCCTTAAAAGAAGCCTACCCTTTACCCTCATCCAGAATTGGAGACACAAATGAATTGGAGTAATTAATTACACTTATTTCTAACATCCAAAAAAATAGTCCCGACATTCGCAATGCCGTCGGAGTTAAGATTTGTTTTCCTCAAGTGTGCTCTAAGGCAGCATTAGCCTGCCCACCTCCAACTGGCATATGGTCTTGAGCAGGGCTGCCATATACCTGACATGTATTCTGCATGGACCTTTCTCTTACAAGCAAAGAGAAGAACGAAGCTGTTTCTCTCTTTTTTTTTTTTTTTTAACCTCTCTGGACTAATCCAAAATAAAAGTTGACACTGGATTGGTATTCTGAAATAATTTTTAAAAATTTGGCATAGCCATCAAAAAACGTTAGCTTCAGTGAGTATGTGAGCAACTATCTGACAAATGGAATGAATTGGAATCTTACTGAATATCTTGTTAATTCTTATTGATAAATAAGTGCTGCATGGTAGTATAATGATCATTTTTTTTCTAATTCAAAATTGAAAAGGAAAATAACAGAAATGCCAAAGAGTTGAAGTCAGTGAACTGTCCTCCTATTAAATCTCTTTAGAAATGAAGTGTCCTCAGCAAACTATGCGACAGACAATGGAGAATTAAGGTAGATTCTAGAAATCAACAAATCCCATTCATTTCCTTCAGTTTGTAAAAACAAGCAACTGACATGTTTCCTGCCAATGAGCACACTTGCAGATAAGAAAGCTCCCTACAGGAAATCCTTTCCTAAGAGACAAGTCCCACCATTAAACTTAACCTTCTTTACCATGCCCTTGTAAGTTAAATATTTCATAACACGGGCTCATGAAAGAGACACTGAATCGCCTAAATGATGCTACACAGCTTCTAAACTCTGTATTTCCTATGACAGTAAACAAACACTGAAATATATTTAGGACTCTTTCCACCTCCCGCCTCCCCCCCCCCACCCCCAGGCAATTAGCTGAAGAGAACAGGGAAATTTGATGCTCTTTAAAAACATCAAACTGTTGACTAAATAAGTTTTAAAACTGATCATCTTCAATTAAAATAAAGCAACGCAATGCTACAAGTCACCATAATTTAGAGATTTCTAAATGAAAATCAAGAATTTAACATTGGAAGCCAGTTATTGACAAAACTGGAGAAATGTAACAAATACATTTGCTTGTACTCACATGGCTTAATAAAGCTCCTGAAAGTCAAAATTTAGGAGAGGGTCTCCCTGCTTATTTCTCTCAGTGAAATGAATGGGGCAGCAAGGAGATTTGGGTGAGGTCTCCAAACTTTTCTCCTTTTTTATACTCCTTACCATTACCAAGATAGTGGAAATATTTGCAGCTTTGGTTTCGGGAACCTCTAAATTACCCTAAAAATAAAAGCACTCTTCTCTACCCACAAATGAAGAAAATTATCTAAATCAACTGAATAATAATAACAATATTTGCAATTTGGAAACAATGTTTATTTAGAAATTTTTTCCTTGCCCTGCTCAGAGATAGAGAACGCCGTTCTTCATTCGTTCCAAACCACCAGTCTTAATTTTTCCTCCCTCCACATGCAGCTTTGGAGCAGGGTCTAAAATATCACAATTCTTTTCAGTTCAATTGCTTTGGTTCAACTTTGAACCCTCTCGAAAACAGAATCATTCAGTACACTTTCCCCGTAACACTCTTCATCCGCAGGTAACAAGCTAGTCTTTCAGGCTCTGAAAAGTTTTTTTGTTCTAACAGAGGAAATACAGACCCTCTGTATATACACTTGGATTTCACAATGATATACAGACCCTCTGCATATGTACTTTGATTTCACAATGAAGGGCTCAGATACATTCTTCTCAGCATTCCCCATGCACAACTCTGAGGTAGCAAAATGCCAAGTAAGCACAAATACTCATCTTGGCTTTCAGGCTTTTTTTTTTCTTGAAATATTTTCAATAAAAATACAGTTATGAAATCCAGGAGACTGCATTTTTGGTTGTTGTTGTAAAATGACCTTGATTTGACAGGCCCGATCTCAGGTTTCAACAGATGTTGTGGGAAAAGCTTACAGAAGCTAGTATGTTCTCCAGGCATCTGTGATGACATGCAGGGTTTTTTTTTGTTTTTTTTTTAAGTGGTGGTCATGGCAGTGTACACAAGTCTGGTGGGGGTAGTGGGGGGGGGTTACTCAGTTTCCATGACAACCATGTCTGCACTCACGGGTTATTAGATACCATCCACTTCCTGTGTCTAAATTTTTAAACCAATCAGAAAAGTGTTTATACATTTAACAACTCTTGGGACAGGGCTTCTTTAATGAAGCACTTTAAGGCTCAAATGAAGATGTCCACGGGCCTTATATTTTGTCTTAAAGATAAAACATTTCATAATGTTTGCTAATTCATAGTCTTAAGTGATGAGGAATGCCCTTTTTCATGGTCATGAAATGTATTCTTCTCAAAGCAGATGCCAGAATTTCTTATCATAGCGTGCAAGCTGATTTTGATAGTTTGTTCCTCACGATCTTTTTCTTTCATTGTTGCAAGGCTTAGATTTAGTGCCTGAAACCTGGTCATGCAAAGGCACTTAAATTATCAAAGTAATGACATGGTTAAGCATTCGATGTTACTATTCAAATATTCAAAAAAATTTTTAAAAACCAGTTAGGAAAAATTAATTCCAAGTTGAACAACTTCGCATTCTACAACTTCTGAATGGAAATCATTGAGACTATGGTAAAGTGACCCATCTATGAATGTACGCTACTGACATCTGCAAAGAAATTTGTCACCAAAATGGCCTACTTTATCTGGATGGAAACAACAACCCCCAAATTTAAACATATAGGTATCTTGAGCAAACTGCACTGGGATTACAAAGCAGCCTCGCAGAAACCCTTGCACAAGAAGGCTCGTCTGAAATTACGGCTTGGTTTTCTGAAAAGGTTTTGGGTGACGGTTTTCATAAGTCTCAATCGAACTGACCAATCAGGGTGAGAGTTAGAGCGGGCTCCAGACGTCTGTGCAGTCTTCGGAGCTCTGCACTCTCTCTAAGCTGCTCGCCCTCTCCAAGGCAGAGCTGGTGATCAATGAAAAACAGGGAACAAAAGGAATGTAACAGGATGTCTTCCTCAGCTGAGGAAAGCGATTCCCTTTTTCCTCAATGAGCCGCTCGCACCCTGCCTCCCCAGCTCCGCATGGGAGCCTCCACCACACCAGCCCTTTCGGAGGGAGGCACATTTTGCATTTACAATCATGGGTCCCAACTGCTACCAAACGTGTCACCTTAAGCACAGCCTGCCAATTGCCACTAATAAATTAAATAAATTAATAACCCCACCATTAAAAGCTCCCGAGAAAGACGGTGTTTCCCTTTCCCAAATGTCATTCCCAGAGTATAAACAAAGCATGAAATATCGTCTCTCCAGTCTCCTCAGCCAGCAGTCATGGTTTTTCTCCTCAAAACAGTGTTCCTCCAAAAAGAGAAATATTCTTGCTGCCCTCAACGGAAACTCTCATCTGTTTATGTCACATCAGGAGAAGCAGTTACAGTATTTGAAAAGAGGTTTAAACTGCCCACAGACCTGACCCTGTTTATAATGGATTGCGAAACCGTCGCAACAGCAATGCCGAAAACTCTGCCCCCCGCCAAACTCCACATTTAACACGTTAGTTCTGGAAAACAGAAGCGCCGCCTGGGGAGCCCCACTAAAGTGGGCTTCCCCGAGAAGTCATTAACAGAATTACATCAATTATTTGGTAATTTTAAAAATAAATATCCATTTGCCCGCAATGTTTTTTTTTTAAAAAAAACAAACAAATTTTAAAAAGAACTCTGCAGATTCCAGAGAAACTTTTTTTTTTTTTTTAAATGAACTTACTTTGGAGACAAAACTAATGAAAATAAGCAACTTGCCATCCCTGGATCTTTCTCACTTGGGGCTGCACGCTATAAATCAATCTGAAACTAGCTGGGAATATGGGGGCGGACACATGCAAAAAAAAAAAAATCCAAGGGTGCCCCGAAATGCAGCAGCCCGCTCGGCGGGCGAGGGCTCCTCATGACGGTGCTAAACGCGCAGAGGACCGGGAGGCGGGAGCGGAGCCCCGATTTCGTTACCTTCGATCGCCGGCCCCCCCGCTGCTCCTCGCGGCCGCATGGGGGCCGCGGCGGCGCTGGACTCGCGGGTGGCCCCGCC